TGGGGTTGTCATTTCCAGAGAACAACACCATCCCGCTACAATTTATAGCCCATCAAAATGCAAATCCCTCTCCATAGTCGGTCGCGACTCCTTGAGAGAATCTTGCACCCCCGGGCTAATTTATTACATCCGCGGAAAGGAGTCACCTGCCGGTGCCAAAAGTCCGCGAAAGTTATAAATAAAACTTTCTTTAGGAAAAAGTGGCCGGAAAGTGCAAAAAGCTGCTCTCTTTGCTCTGTCAGTGCAGTGCGCGCGCGAGTGTGACCTGTTTTCAGCCCTCTCGCGCTAGATCGATAATTCGGGGGGCGAATTCGTGCTCGCCGTGTGTCGGCGCGAAAGATTGATGTGCCCGAGCGGCGGGCCAAATTGCCGAACTTGGCTTTAAATGCCAAGAAAAACCGACAGGGACGCGCCTCCGTTGTGGACTGAATATTTCACCGCGGCCGAATCGCCTGCCAAATGCCGTCCCGGGACGCAGATAAACTTGAAAGGCGGTTCAGCATTTGCCAAATCTACCAGGAGAGTTAATACGCGTTTTATCTTGAAGAAAATCCAAAAGTAAAATTTACTAGAAGCGAGATTAAGGGTAATAATTATTAAGTATTTAATTGAGACTGATAATGATGCTATAAATCATTTATTTGCGTGAAATTGCAAAATGTGCAACTTTGAATGCCAAAACAATCAAGTTAAAAATTATTTTTTTAAATTTTTCTGCATGAATATTTAATTAAATATTATCGGCCTATTTAAATTAAGTTTTTATCATTTTTTGCGCTAAATTGAAATTTAATCCCCTTCCTAAGCCACTTAGCCACAATCGTTTTACTTGGAAGTGTTGCCTCCTCGCCCTGCCAGCATCGCTCACAAGTTTTCAAACTCCCCGCATCGTCTATACTATGTTGAGCTGTATGCGCCTCGCATAACACGGCATTAATTAATTATTACAAGTCGGATACGACTGCATTGAAAACTCCCTCGCGAGAACAAGTTTCAGCATCTAATTAAGACTTCAAGGAGAGTGCTATAGCTGATAACTACAGTTTTCATTAGAGCCGTCCTTAATGCATCATAACGCGCCCGGAGAGAGGCTAAATCATCAACAACACGTATACTAGACGTGCCGTACAACTTCTTCTTCGTCCTCGGACCAGAGAAATTGCATGTCCGTTAATATTCAAGCATGCACTTTTCCGCACGTGAGGCCATTTTGCTCGCATAATTGTGCACTTTACGCTATCGGGCGCCGGCAGTACATAAAGAAAAGCCGTGCGTGCCTCTATTAGCAGCGAGTTATGTGTGTATGTTTGTCTTGCATGTACAAATATAAATAAGATGCCTTATCGCCCAGTGTAATTTATACAATATATGCGTGCCCCTCTCTTTCTCTCTCCGCAAGAGCCCGACCTTTCTTTTTGCAATTCATTTTCGGCGGCCGGTTTAATTATGTAGCCTCATTACCCGAATCGGGTGGGCCAATATGACTTCATTTGAATCCGCTTTTGGTCCTTTCGACTGCTTCTTTTTATATTTAATACTCGTACCGGTTTGAAAAGTTTTTAATCCAATAGGGCGGCATCGGTTGTTCTGTATATATTGGTGAAAGTTTCGCTTTCGATCGAAGCAGTGTTTTATCGATTTGATTGCAATCAAGATAATTTCAAATAATATCTTATATCGGGGGCGTCAAAAGGTGTTTAGGAACTGATTGGACTGGAATTATTGATAGCCAATTGCACAATTATTTGTGTTGACCTAAAAAACTGAATCAAGAGCAATCATTTATTTAAACTTTTATCAGAGTCAACAGCATTTTTGAGGTTTCAAACTGTATAAAATAAACTTTAATTAAGAAAATGAATTTTTCTAACTTAAAAAAAATTTTAACTATGTAGGCACATTTGAAATATAAAATTTTTTATTATTAATTAAATTGTAACTATATTAAAATTTAAAATATATATTTTATTTTAAATAAGCAATTTTTTCCAAAATTAACTCATTTGATTATAAATTTTATTATTAATATAATGTTGCAGTTGCATGAAATTACTACTTATCATTTATACAAAGCATGATGTGTTCATATCAATGTTTTTTTTATTTCTCTTCTTTAAACAATTTTCACTATCAGACAACTCACTCTACCCCAAACATCATTATTTGCCGAAAATCGGCGCCGAGACAAATGGAGGCGGGCACCGCGCGAGATCGGCGCCGTCGGCGATTAATTTTCCGCGCGCAGGAATCAACTCTGCGGAACGGTCTAGCTGTTGGTCGGCCGCGCAATAAATCTGATCCAACCGTGAATGGAGCGCAAATGGCGTATGCAAATTTTCCTCTCCGATATATCACTGCAACGGCGAAAATAATAAATATCCCGGCGGCGCGGCCGGCCCCGAGAGTAGTCTATTCAAATGCACAATACACCCGTATTAGCGTGTACTTTGCGAAATAAATCCGCACACGCAATAGCCTGGGCGATAAATAATGTGCCACAATGCGCCGGCAAATTGCGAAATGCCTGCAAAGAAGTACAAGAAGTTCGTCTCTTCTTTTGAGCATTTCGGAGAAAGGGTGCCCGTTTTATGCTAATTAAAACGCTCCCCGAGCGCGAAATTCCGTGAAAAGTTGGGCATATAAATAAAACGTGCTTTGAAAGAGAAAAGTTTTTGAAAGAGATGAGCTATGGAGGTGTATATTAATTACAAAGGCCAGACTTGCGTAAACTTGAAGACACATTCCTGTAATGAGAGCCATTAAGGTGTTTTTGAACGCTGACCCTGATACGGCCGGGCGGGCGAACGAGACGTTGGGAAAGTGGTAATTGAACCGACTTTTTATCCGCATCAAATGAGAAGAGGCCATCAAGGCCGCTTCTTTTACGGACTTTGTAAAGTATAAAGAGCCTTAATCAACAAAATAAAAAGCTGCTTAGAAACATTTCGTTCGTGACTCCTTTAGCAAAAAGTAATTTTGAAGGTAATTCATGCAAAGAAGATTTTAAATTAATTTAGTTCTGAATCAAGATGATCTTAAATTTTATAAGAAAAAGAGGAAATTCAATTAAAATTTAAAAATTGATATCAAATTGGCCTCTTGAATTGATTCCTGAGGTCAAAAGTGACCTCAGACCTCACAAACATCCCAAATACAAAAATTGAGCTCATTGTCGGTGAATTTCTACTGTTCGCAAACACCAGCGCCAGTACAGGGAAGTTGGAGAATTTCAGAAAGGCAAAACCCTCTCAATCTTCTTGCGTTTGGATGTTTTAATTAAATTAAGGAATGAATAAAAAAAAGACGATAATTTAATAATAATTTTAGCATCTTTTTATCAAAATTAAAAAGAAACTTCTAAAAACAAAGAAGGCTGTCCAAAGTTTTAACAATTTAATTTTCACTTTTTCCTTCTTTAAACTGAGCTAAAATAGACAATAATTAAAAGTGAGCATCTCTGGGTGCATATAAGAGAGATAATGTCGAGATTTTGTCGAGAAAAGAGAGCTTCCTGTCACAGAGAATGCTCTTAGATTAATTAGGGGCTGCTCTTGCTTGCTCCTTTCCAGCAGCTGAATAGAAAAAGCATCGGGATAATTAACACACACACGCGGCTGTAGGGAGAGGGAGAGCCAGCGAAAATGGAGATAAGCATCTTGCGGCGGGCAGAGTGAGTGACTGACTGACTCGTATCGAGCCTAATAATACCGGGCGAGTGTCGGAGCCATTTGCTTCTCGGGCATTATCTCGCTCAAATCTGCGCGGCTCCGATGGCCGCGGGCCGAAAAGATCTTGAGAGAAAAATTACGGGAGAGAGTCTTGACGGCGGCGTTTATTATTATTAAAGAGCCATTTTTCTGAATTGCCGCGGCCCAAGGATGTGTTGTGGGCAGACGCGAAACGCCGAAAAGTGTTTTTTTTCCTTCTACTCTTTTTTTTATTACTCGCTTGAAATTCGATTTTCCAGCAAATATTTTCACGAGCCGGTCCGCGGGGACGCAAAAGAAAGAGGCGGTGCAATAAAAAGAGTATCTGCTCGTTTTGATCTCATTGTTATTCCGTTCATGAGCGGCGTCCCGCTTTTTCATGCTTCGTTTTCCATCTCCGGAGAGCGAGCGCAAGAGTTAAAGCGTCACGAATTTGTTGCAAAGTTAGGAAGGTGCCCCCGAAAGTTTCGCTGCGGCACTTAGATTTGCCACGAATTTGCTTCCAACAAGGTGGCAGTCTTTTCACGTACGAAAGGGAAAAGGACCGCGCTTTTTTACTCTCTTTCTCGTCGCTGCATTTTGCCTAGACTTTTATTTGAATTTTTTCTTTATCACCGAGGCGAAATCTTTTGTGCGGGCTGCGAGGAAATGAAGTTGTTATACCTTTTGAAAAGTTTCTTGAAAGATCGCCTTGATAGAAGCAGTTGATATACGCTGATAAAACAGGCTCTTTTTGTGTCGGAATTTAACTTTGGCTCTTGCACACAAGAACAGAATGAGAGACAACGCGCTCTATTCAGATAACTTTACCGTGACTGGGGAAACACTATGGCCAGGTGAATAATGGGGAGCTAAAGGAAAAGACGCCAGGAAATTAATTAAGCAAAGATTTAAAGGGTAGATAAAATAAAATGGAATTTGGTGCCGCTGGAAAACTGTTAAAATATTATCAAAAGATCAAAAAGTGATTATTAATTTTTTAGACAAAACCCAAAATAGGAATGTGCTTTATTGGTGATTTAGAAGTCAACAAAAAAAATTAAAATTACTCAAAAGTTTCAATCTTTTTCTATAGATTATTTTTGAGAATTTATTATAATATTAAATATTTGACAACCAAAAAATTCATATTTTTGTTGAATTTGAAAGATCATTCGTGATCCTGAAATTTTGCATTAAAAAAATTATTTTTGTTTCTTAAATAATTAAGCAGGAAATTGTAAAATTTTTGCATTTTATTTATCAATAATTACAAAAATTACCAAATTTAAATGAAAATTTTTCGTGTTACAGAACGGATGCGGTACGACGTGGCGTACGAATGCGAGGGCTCCATGCTGACCATCAACTGTCCGGAGGGCGAGCACATCAACCTGATCCGGGCCAACTACGGCCGCTTCTCGATAACGCTGTGCAACGACAACGGCAACACCGACTGGAGCGTCAACTGCATGTCTCCGCGCTCGCTGCGCGTCCTCTACAGCAAGTGAGTGGCCAAAGGGTTGAATATTTATACAAATTTTCCGCCTCTGTTCATTCCATGTCCGCGTGCGGAGATTGGCACAAAAATACTCGACGCTCGTGACTCGCATCCGGGAAAATAACAACACACAGAGCAGAGTCTCTTTTTGCCAGTGCTCGCACGTTTCGCCTCTCGCCTCGTTTGTTGTGTGCCTTAATTAACAGCGCATTTTTGTCCATTCGCCGCAGCCTCGTCATCTGTACAAAATTTGGCCATTTTCCCCCCTCAACGTTTTTCTTTCTTGTTTCCCCGAAATCTCTGCTTCCATTCATGAATTTGAGTCCGTGTAAATAAATCATATGTATGTTTTGTTTCGATGCGTGAATGTGTGTGTGGCTTTGGGGTTTTTATCTGCTGTGAGCCTCTTCTCGGTATTCATTTGAATAAATAAATATACACGCTCGCGGTCCGCGTGTTTGTTTGGCTTTTCAAACTTCGACGAACGCGCCAACCGTGAAACATGACTCCGTTCAGTGACATCAATCAGATCCTTGACTAAAATGAATTGATCTAATCGGAATTCTTGGTGATGATTTGCGGTTAGAACCAAAACTAAACCAATAAATTGTTTAAGTAATATCGGAAATTCAATATAAAAAAAAATAATAATATTTTTTAATATATTCTAATTAATAATATTTGTTAAGTTATTTTAAATTAAATATTAATTATCATTTGATCAATAAATATTAGAATTTTTTTAAATTGATTACTGTGGCAGTTTTTTAGTTCGGCCACTTTTTGGAATCCACGCCTTAATTAAACTGATGTAAATTTGAAAAGTAAGTTCTAATAATACATTTTGCTGTACCGCCTCCAATCAAATCTTAACAACAATAGAAGCTAATTTTTTTATTGTTCGAAATTTTAACTCACATTATTGTACTGGCTTTATTAAGAAGTCATTAATAATAAAAATTCAGTTCATTTTTTGTTTGTTTTCATGTTCATTTTGAATGTAAAGTGCATTATATAAATAGTTATTTATATATTTTGATTCCACCTCTCGTTCAGTTGACCAAAAATCCGCATTTCCACGCACACCGAAATTCGCATTTCATTTTCCCTCTATCTCTGGTGCCCGGCAGCAAAAATGTCACCGCAAGCTTTTCCTCCCCCTTTATATATATTATTTGCAAACAAACAACGCAGGTCCAAAAAGCAAGCCATGTATGTATAGTAAAAGGTCTGGTAGGCAGACGCGGTCGGTTGTTTAGTTGGCTGGCTTTTGCATGCGCCCAACTAATTGTCAAACAGCCATTTTCAGGCCGCCGAGCGTTGCCGGCGGAGAGTGTTTATTTGCATATTGTAAGTGCGTATAAGAGAGCATATTTGCAAGCAACAACGTGTCTGTTTCCAGAGAGGGACCGTCAAAAGGTTAATTGCGTCATTAAAAATTTGTGCCATTCACGCGCGCATGCAGCATCCGAATTTCGGGTGATAAGCTTAGGGACTCGTTCCGGGAATGATGCTTGTGCACAAATTCGACTTTTCTTTCTTTCTTTGAAAGAGAGGAGGAGACGGTTTAAATATTTAATTTATACACATACACGCGGCGATGCTTGTCTAACATACTTTTAAAAGCTTCTTATATGTAAAGAATGAAAGACAATTCTGGTGGGAATACAGGCAAGATTTTATCGTGCGCTGCCACAGCCAGCCGTTTTGTTAAAGTTTCTCTCCGCCGCATGGCCGTATAATACAGACACACACAATGTAATGGATTAGAAAGAGAAAAAATACTCTCCGAGAGCGGAGATGGTGTTTTGATATTTTTATCATCCTAGGGGATTGGGAGAAAGAAAGAGAAAAAATACGGCCCGCTATCTCCGAATGTACCCAATTTACTTTGAAAGAGCTGCTGCTGCTGGTTGACCCAAGAGCCAGTGATAAAAAGAAAAGAAGAATACCGAAAAATATATCAATTTGATATATTAAAGGGCTGAAAGAACGTTTTTAAAAATAAACGAAATTCAATCAATTATTTCAATTTGTAAAAAAAAAAAAAATGATAGAACCTTTAAATTTTCCAAAACACAGCAGCCATTTTTGTTCGATTTAGTATTAAAATTAATTTCATTGTTTAAAAATTTCCAAGACCATAATTTTTTTTTTTTAATTTTCAACTCAAATTATGTAATAAAACGTGCAATTTTTGTTTGTAATGTTACTGACGTTGTGAAATTCCATTCCGGTCATTATAAATTTTGGTGTATTCTTGTCACGTCCGCACTTTGAGTGCTCCTCTTCTTGCTCCCAACTTTGTACTTTCCTCCTCCTTCAATTGACAAATTCTGCATTTCAGATGCAACCTGCAGGCGAACTGCAGCGTTGCAGTGAACGACGACCAGTTCGGCGAAGACCCCTGCCCCGGCACTTTTAAATATGTAGAGGTGCACTATAAGTGTGTAGGTCAGTCTGAATCCCCCTGCCATGTAGCGACGGACGCGACTTTGATTTGTACTTTTTTTTTCAAAGTCGGGTCCATTAGCGGCGAAAATGGGCGTTCTTCAAGTCCCACGTCTCAATCGAGAAAGGCATTCGGCCGTTTCAACTCGCCTGCGTCTAAATATCTCAATGTTTGAAGGAATTTCGGGCATAAAAGTCGGCGGCGGATCTAAATAACGCCAGATGCCGCACAATAATAATAATATAAAAAATTTATACATATAAAAGCCCGGCCGCCGAGAGTGGAGAGTGGAAGAAGAAGAAGAAGTTGTTTGGCGAGCTCGAGTGCGCGCACCTTCGGCTTCAGGTCAAAATTAAAACCTTCGCCCGGCGTTGCCACGTCTCCTGAGCGTGCTGTTGAATGCCCATTTTCGCCTCAGATTATATTATTCTGTACCAACTTGAATTATTATTTCACTCGAGGCACACAATTCGCGTTAGGGTTTTGGAAGGAATTTGCAGAGGTTGATCTTTCTAATATTTTGAAGTGTTAATTTTGTCAAATTTCGAATCGATATCACTAAAGAGAATGCATTTTGATTGTCATTGGCAGATGTTCAAATCAGCAAAACTGCAGTATTTTAGCGAGCACAAGTGTGTTCGGCGATCCGTGTCCGGGGACTAGAAAATATTTAGAGGCACATTATCAGTGTGTCCCAGGTAAAGAGCCAGAGATATCTATTCTCACAAGCATGACTGGTAAACAACATGATTTAGTTTGGCTTCTTCAGTTCACTTTCTCTTCTTTGGCACGGTCTGTAATAATGCAACAATTAATTATTTCTATATTTCTTTAATTTTTCAATGAATTAAAAAAAAAATGTAGAAAAGCTCCGCGTTCAGGAGTTAAATTTAATTTTATAAGACGATTATTTGGAATATTTTAAATAAAAAAGCATAGAAAATTTAATTTAATTATTTAAATCTTTAATTTAATTTTAAAAATTGGAGAAACGCGCATGTAGACATTATTTAATTACAGAGGTATTTCAGGATAAATTCAATTATCGCAAATATCTCTCGAATACTTGAACACAAACACATAGTAGGCTAGATTCTTCCAAATTTTTTTCCAGTTCAAATTTCAATTTTGAAATTACATTTTAGCGGTGAGTACGTCGACGACCCTGCGACCGAGTCCGCCGTGGCTCGTCACCTCTCAGCCGAGCGTGTGGAGCACGGCCAAGTTGCCGTCTCTGCGGCCGGCGGCCAAATTGCCGTCGGGCCCTCCAGCGGCGGCCGAGACCACGACCAGCTCGACGGCCGCCCCTGCAGTGGTGACCACCCCTGCGGCGGCGCCGCCGGATGAGCAGAGTGAGGAATATGATGACACGATGTTGGAAAATGTTCCTCCACCGGTCACTCAGCCACCTCAGCAGGCGCCAGTGGCTCCTGAGGTGGTCACGACCACCACAACCACTGCACCAACTCCAAGCTCAACTGTGGCCACCAGAAGGCAAACGCATCCCACCACTGGTTAGTGCGATAAATTAATTTAAAATTTAAAAAGAATATTTATTATGTTATAATTATATTTTATTTTACAATTAAAAACGGGTAAATGAAATTTAATTTATATTAGTGAATATATAATTTTTAACATTTTTCAATAATTTGTATATGAAAATAAATTAGTTGAATTCAATTAAAATTATTAATAATGAAAGCTTGTAGTATCTTCACCTATTTATTCTATTTTTCATTTTAAACTTATATTTTTCATTGGTAGCTACCTTTAATTCATAATATATTTATAATTAAAACTGACTCAAAATTATTCTGTGCTATTATTTTATTTAGTTCAATTGAATGTATAATTTTTGAAGAAGTTAAAATGTATAAACTAAAGCAAACTTTCGTTATTAATTATCTTTTATTTTTCATTGAAATCGCATTCTTTGAGAAAAATAGTCGAAAATTAATAATTTTCAATCTTTTAATGAATTTCTAAATTTTTTTGCAATTCACTTTCAGCTGGTCCTGAAAAGAAGCAGCCGCAAATGCCGATCTGGGAGAATGACCTGCTGCAGTACTGCGCACCTGCCACCGCGCGCAACATCAACTGGAACTGGACCCAAGTGGGCGACACGGCCATTCAGCCTTGTCCTGGTGGCACAACCGGACAGGCACGTTGGCGCTGCATCTTCAGCCAGGACGTCAACCAGATGGGCCGCGCCACCTGGGAGCCTGGCACCCCCGACCTGAGCGAGTGCCGCTCAGTGTGGGTGGCCAACCTCGAGTCCAGCATCAAGGAGGGCGACTCCATCATCTCCATTGCTGACGATTTGTCCCAGGTAATTATTTAAAAACAAATATAAACAATACTTAAAAAGCAGAAGGGTTCAATTTTAAACCTTCCAAAATATATAAAATAAATTTTGGCTGATTTTTTAGTTTTGCTACTTTTATTTTACAACAAATTCTAATAAAAAATTTGAATTCAGGTCACAATCAACAAGATGTTGTACGGCGGAGATTTGATGACCACGTCCAAGATCATCAAGAAAATGGCGCAGAAGATCAGCCAGGACATTCAGACGTTCCCTGACCAGCGCCAAAGGGAGGCCTTGGTGTCCGAGTTGCTTCACAAGGTGGTCATCACCAGCAGCAATTTGCTTGATGACTCGCAACAGTCCTCTTGGAAGGATTTGGGCTACGACGAGCAGATGCGCATTGCCACCTCGCTCATGACAGGGTTGGAGGAAAACGCATTCCTGCTGGCCAACACCATGGTGGTCGAGAAGACTGTGGACGAGAGAGTCAAGAATGTTTGTGAGTAGAAAAGACTAAAAAAATTAAATTTGATCTAAAATTCAATTTGTTTTGGAAAAGAGAAATTCATACAAGCAGATTCTTTTGCTTCATTTTTTTATCTTATAATTTTTCATGATTTCTTTTTAATTCTATTTAACATCCTAAAATTATTAAATTTACAAAGTAGTGATCCAAAAAAAAGAGGCTGATGGCTCAATTTAATTTTTAATTTTTCATAAATTTATTTCAAGTTAGTAAGAAAATTTTAATTCGCCCCCAATTTCTTAATTACAGTGGTTTCTGTGAGAGTTTTGGAAACAAGAAATGTTGGCGCTGAGCAGTTTCCCTCGCCCGAGACCCAAGATGAGTGGCTGGACAGCATTGGCTGGCTGGAGTTGCCGAGAGGCGCCCTCCTGGAGAACAGCGAGTCGGGCCTGGTTCGTCTCGTTTTCATGGCTTTCGACCGGCTCGAGGACATCCTCCAGCCAAGAAGCAGCTCCTCCCCGTCTGCCCATGAAGAATCCACAGTCATCACAATCGCAGAGGAGACTTCAACAAACGGCGGACTGCCCTCGACCTCCCTGATCAACAGCAAGATCATTTCAGCGTCACTCAGCAAGGGCAGACACATCCAGTTGTCTGAACCGGTGCGCATGTGTCTCAAGCACATCAAAACCGACAATGTCAGCAACCCGTCCTGCGTATTTTGGGACTACACTATCAGGTATTTGGTTTTAAATTGGAATTGTTGAACATTTTACTTAATTATATCTTGATTAAATAATTTTTTTTTTAATTTCAAATTTAAAAAATAATTTTTTTACTCTACACTAATTTGAACAGAAAAAACACATGCACACTAACAATTATCTGAGAATTGAAAAATTATGTTGCCAATTTATTAAACAATAATATTGTTTTGTAATTAAATGCAATAATGTTTATCTTTATGTTTGTTATTTTTTCTTCACATTTAAAGTAATTATATTAACAAAATTTTTTTTTAATAAATTTTTTACAAGCTGTTTTGTGTTGGGATATCATGAAATTGCTCTATTGATTATTTTTGTTTAAAATAAATAAAAATAAATAAAATATTATTGTAATTCAATCTGTGTATGAAAAGTATCTCAATATCTTTCTAACAAAAATTGCAACAATGGGAAAACTTTATTAAATACAACATGGAGTTTTTTTCTTCTACAATTGACTTTTAAATGGATTTAAAAAAAAAAAGATTAGAATTCTTAATGAAAAATTTTAGAAACTCTATTTTATTAAATTATTTGTATTGTGTTTAGTGCTTGGTCTTCTGAGGGATGTGAAGTGGAGATGACGAATCGCACGCACACAGTGTGCAAGTGCGACCACCTGACCAACTTCGCCATCCTGATGGACGTGCACGCCACCCTGCTGGCTCCCACGCACGAGGCCTACCTGAGAATCATCACCTACGTCGGCTGCACCATCTCCATTGTGTTCCTCATCATGACCATACTGACATTTCAGTTTTTTCGTAACCTCAAAGTAAGCAGTTGTTTAAAGTAAAAAAATTTGTACTAAAAGGGTGAAATTTTTTGATTAGTCGGACAGAGCAACAATCCACAAGAACCTGTGCTTCTGCCTCCTGATCGGAGAGATCATCTTCCTGGCTGGAATTGGACAGACTGACAAGCAGATCATGTGCGGAGTAGTCGCCGGTTTGCTCCACTACTTCTTTTTGTGCGCCTTTGCCTGGATGTTCCTCGAAGGTAAAATTTTCATTTGATTCACAATTCAAATTTTATTACCGGAAATTTTTTCCACTTTAGAAATAGAAATACTAATTAATTTTTATAAAATCTGATTTAATTATAAAAAAATAATAAATTCATAAATTTGAATATTTGCAGGCTACCAACTATATGTGATGCTCGTGGAGGTGTTCGAGGCCGAGAAGCCACGCATCAAGTGGTACTACATCATTGGCTACGGCGCCCCTCTAATAATTGTGGTTGTGTCGAGCCTGGTGGACCCGATGGGCTACGGCACCGACCGCTACTGCTGGCTCAACACAGACAACTACTTCATTTGGAGTTTCGTGGGACCAGTCATTGCCGTGATTCTCGTAAGAAACTCGACCAATTTTCAAGAAAATTGAAATTTAATTTTGTTTATCCTCAATTGCAGGCCAATCTAGTCTTTTTAAGTATGGCAGTCTACAAAATGTGCCGCCACAGCAGCACTTCAGTCCCTGTGAAGAGCAAGGAGCACGCCAGGCTTGCCAGCGCCAGGTATGTAATTTTTTGCTCTTTTTTTTAGCTCTGAAAAACTAATCTTCAACGGCATGGTATAAAATTCACGGATTTCACTCGCCACTAAATAATAATAAATAATTTTGATAATTGGTGTTGGATTTCAATCCTTCTGGAAGTTTTCGTTGATTTTTGGACGATTAAAAATGTTCTTTTGGTGTGTGTACTTTTTAACTCTTTTATTTTCTTTTTTGCATGCATAGTGGAAAGGAAGAGAATGCTCATTCGAACAAAATCCAATCAAACCTGTAAGGATGGTTTTCCACGTTTTTATTAATTCTCTCTCTCTAATAAGAAAATCTTAGTATATTTTAGTTTCACTTTCCTGTAGTTGTGCAAATTTGAATTAACCAAAAAAATGTTTCTTCTGGCAAAATTACCAAAAATAGATACTGCCAGTTTCCAAAGGCAGTTTTATTGATCTGATTTTGTCAGAGAAACGCTGCTTGTAACAATGAATGGCCAAATTTGATCGGCGTTGGCTAAATTTTGGTCGGATTTGCAGGTCTTGGCTGCGCGGCGCCATCGCCCTTGTCTTCTTGCTCGGCCTGACGTGGACGTTCGGCCTGCTGTTCCTCAACAAGGAAACCGCCATCATGGCTTACGTTTTCACAGTGTTGAATAGCTTTCAGGGACTGTTTATTTTTGCTTTCCATTGTGTTCAGAATGAGAAGGTAAGGAGCTTGTTAGGCTTGCAACATACCACCACACTCTTGTAAATTTCGCAATCGGAAAAGAAATGAAATCCCGTAGAAAAATATTATATATATAAATGTACGAGACTCCTCAGTGTGTTGACAAAAATAATTGGACATTTTGTATAAAACAGCAAAAAATAATAAAACAAAATGTAAATATTTACTGGATAGGATAGTTGATAAAAATGTATAAAACTCTCGAAAGCCCTCCAGATTTATTTTAAATTTATTTTTTTATGATTTTCCGATTGTTTTTCCTTTTCCTTTTTTTCTGTTTCTTAAGTTGCTCCTTCTTTTCTGGGTTTTAGGTTCAAAAGGAGTATAGAAAGTTTGTTAAGCGAAACAGTTGGCTGCCGTGCAGCAGCAGCAGCTCGGGCAAGGAGCAGACCTCGAGCTTTTACGCCGGCTCCAACGGCAACCCGTCAGCTCCAAATTCCCATAGCACAGACAGCTCCGCATTGTCACCTCACGGCAATAGTGTGGGTACCTCTGTAGTTTCTTTGCCCAACCACCAACACCTCCACCACAGCCACCACCACTATCCCAACAACACCCCCAGGATCCAACCCAACCACCACTACCCATCCTCGTACCACTCACATCCGCATCACACCTCAATTATCACAACACCAAGTCGGGGATCGACGAGTGTCCAGCACTGTTCAATTAATAACCATGAGTCACAAGGCAAGTGCTGACATGCCCACTATTTAATTTGATCATATTTTTTTTGTCACTCCTTACATACCGCACTTTGGAGCTTTTTCGTTTTTTGTGTAAATAAATTTAACGATTAACAACCAAACCCCGGCCATCAGCTCTTGAATGTCTGTTTGCGTTTTGCGGCGAACAGCATCAGCTTTGCCTTTTATATTAATTTTATTATTTCTTTGAAAATGGTTACTTTGCATATTATTTCGCTTTTTGCGCTTTTAATAATTCCTCATGCAGCTGGCACAAACTATGTCGAGAAAAAAAACATTATTGTTTCAATGTAGCAATGAAATGTTGAAACAAAAACCGCTTTTAACGAAGTGACACACGGGAGTGGTGGTGTGATGTGGATTTTTAGCTTTGTAGAGGTTAGACACACACATAGACAAATTGACACAACCTTGCCCTTCCTTGCTCTCTTTAATTGATCGTCTGACGAGCATTTCAAAAGGAAAGATCAAACAAGAAGCACAATTAACCCTAAAATAGAACTGCTTTTGAGCCTAAAACCCAAACTGTTAATAAATCTAAAACTTGTCAAAAACATTTTCACGGCCATACACGATGCACCTCAAACTTGAATTGAAATTTTGAGTTTTATTTCAGATTGAAGGAAAGGATCTGCTGGCAAGAGAACTGAAAAATTGGAAAAATAGTATTAATTCACAAAAATTTAAAATCCAAAAAAATTATATAAATTCAAAGAAAATCAATAAATCATTAAATTCATTAATTTTTGTTTGGTTTTGAAATAGTTTTTTTTATATTTTTTTTCCGTTAAATACTTTTGATTCGTCTTTGACCAAGCAAATGTATTTTTTTTTAATACAAGAAGAATTTGATTTTTTTCGAAGTATTTAATTCTTGGATAGTATTTTACTTTTTCTCCATTTTGGCGACATTTTACAATTTCTCCAGCCGCAGCCTTCCTGAATTTGAACTTCGCAAATCAAAATTTCTCTTCATGGAGACAAAATTCATATATTTTATTTCAATTTCGGATTTTAATGCATTGCGTTTTTAATTTGCGTTTCTCTCTTCTTTTGTTTGTCCCGCAGAAGATTTCTTTTAAGTCGTACAACGGTCGTGTTGATTCAGAGCCGGAAGACTCGCCGCGCTCGCTCAACACCACCACCCTGACCAGTCTGAACAACCTGCGCTGCCTGACGACGGCCGCCAGCCCGCTGCCGAGCAACAACAACAAGGACGGCGGCACCCTGAGGCGCGTGTGCGACTACTCGGGCAACGAGTACACCAGCAACGAGCTGGTGGTGACCCCGGCCGCCAACATCATCGACCCCTCAAAGGTCATCCTGGCCGCGGACATCGACTACGGCCGCGCAGAGCAGCTCGGCGGCACCCTGAGTCGCGCCCACCAACAACAGCAGCAACAACAACAACCGAGCACACACCTAGTCCCGCACCTGCTGCACCACCAGATCGCCGCCCAGCACCACTACCTGACGCACGGCGGTCGCAAGAAGGGCTACCTGCGCTCGGCCAGCCCCTGGAACCACACGTACACCGAGATCAGGGACGGACTGGGCCAAATCCAGCACCTCCGGAGGCCGCCCTCGGAGGACGACCCCGTCTACGAGGAGATCGAGCGCAACACCGAGATCCAGGTGTCGGACATGAGCGACGAGGACGGCCGTCGGCAGAGCGACATGAGTCGACAGTCGTCGCGCAGCTACTCGGACCACCGGCCCCTCATCCCGTACGGGGGCCCGCAGGCCCCGGTAACCCTCGAGTCGCTGCTGCGGCACAACCTGAAGGAGCAGCAGCAGCTGGACGCCGAGCTGATGCGGTACAGGGTGCAGCGCCAGCAGGCGTACCTTTACCCCGCGGTCAACGCCCCCGCCGTGGACGCCAACGCCCGCACGGTGGCCTTCCTCGAGGGCGAGACCGTCGTGTGCCACCTGCAGCCCGAGGCCGCCGCCGACCTCTACAACCCCTACCGGACGATGGTCATCTCGCCGTACAGCGAGTGCTGATCGGACAACTCGAATCGAGCACGGACTCGCCTAACTTATTAGCAGCTAGTGAAACCCGAAATCCTACTGTAGTGTTTAAGGACAAGAACCAAACAAACAAAAGTGATCCGTGTGTGAATGGAGTCGGCGAGAATCGATCAAGGTTATTTTTTATTATTTCCAAGGCCCGTGTTTGAAAGTGGACACAATTTCATGATTGATTTTTATCTTGGAATGGATCATGAAATTTTTCCATCTTTCACGTTCAACAAAAATAATATATACAGGACCTTTAAATCCGATTGCGATTTTTTCATATTTTTTTGTACAAACTCTGCTTCCTTTTTTACGTAACAGAAAACTGTTTAATATGTAATTTATTGTCGCCATTTTTGCTTTTGAACTTTACAAAAAAAAGAGATGCCAACTGTTGCTTTTTAACATTCACTCCAGACAATGCATTTTTAAATATTTTATTACGCTTCTCGCCTTCTTGAGTTTCGAATTTTATTTTCAACTAGTGCAAATGAATGAAATATTTGTGGTGTATATAAAGCATACCAGCTCCGTACGTGTACATATTAAGGAAAGAAACTGCAAAAAAGCGACGCAGCTCTTTATACGTGTTTAGATGCCGGCGCCGGCGTTAATTATATGCATAAACAGCGTAATAAAAAAATAAAAAATGAATTTTCAGTGTATAGATGGAATTGATATTCAGATGTGTAAAACTAAAATGTGAGAGAGACGAATTACAAGAAAATACAACCACACGTTATCGAAACCCGAGCTGCGAACAACCTGGCCGGGTTTTGTGTAAGTGTTGCTTCCAATTCGTGTAATTAAAAGCCAGAGCATGGAATTCCCTCCCTAACTTTGTACCACAGCAGGTGTTAAACTCGAACTGTACCCCCAAAAAAAAAAACTGTTTTTAGAGGAATTGATGTGAGGCACAATTGACGCGGAAGTAATGTTGTTTTTGATGTAAAAAAAGAACTGTGATGCAATCGTTTTTTGAAGACTGTTAGATCTTGATTTGCTGACGTAAAATTTGAAAAGTGCACAAAACGAGAAAAATAAATTATTTATGAAAAATAATAAAAAAAAAATATATAACTTGTTTGTTTGAAACAAATCCCTCGTGATGTTGGGAAGTCACGCGGCTTTACGCCGCCTTCCATTAAAAGTTTTAAATGAAGTTTGGACTTAGACAGTCTGGCGCGTTATTAAGTTTGGTTTTGTGTACCTAAGGGATTCAGCCTAGCAGAGAGATTTTAATATGAAACAAACACCATTAGTACACCAGGAAAATGCTCTCTCCGCACCGCTTTATTAATATTTAATGCACATTGAGCTATACAGAATTAAAATCATACAGATTTTGATCAATTTTGGTATAAATAAATCCGATTTATATCCCTATTGTACATAACTTTTGATATTACACAATACATTATTTCAATCTCGCCGAGCAAACACAGAACAAAAAGGAAGAAAGAGAGATCTCGGCGGGGATATGGTAATGTGGCAGAGATTTAACCAACGAGAGAGATTCAAATATTTGCACTCCTGCTCCAGCGCTCTGAATATGAATTTGTCATCGAAGTAGATTCGAAAGCAGTTTGACTAACAAAAGAAAAAGATAAAAACTTAAATATTACCTTCATTTTCTTGCAGATTTATTATTATTTATTCTACTAAAATAAAATATAATTATTTTTCTTGGTAAATAATTCAATAAATTATGCATAGATATGTTCTATTTAATTTTTTTCAAATTTATATAAAACTTTGTAAGCTCGTCCTTGTTTAAATAAATTATAATAAATCGTGTGTTAATTTTACAGAAATATTTGGATCCCATCTGTATTTTCTTAATATGATTTATTTCGTTTTCAACGCAAAAGCTGAGAAAATTATGTTTGGAAGGAGCAATTTTAATTCATCTCTTCTTGCTCTTTGCTTTTTGCGACGATCCTGCAAATTCTCTCCCACTTCATCAAGTAATGAAATTACAAATTACACGAGCAGTTCAAAGTTAACGGGCTGCCATGGAAATTGCTTAACAGGGTAGTGTAGATTGCTCTCGTCGACTTAATAAAATTGTGCGATCTCTGGAGCAGGAGCGCGTTGAGAGGAACCCTGCCAACTGAGGTGGTAAAACTCTATCTAGTAGTTTACTCCCCTGTTTTATTGTTCATCACCAGTTACTTTCGTTTCCATACACATTTGAAATGAATGCGTTGCGCTATAATAGTAAAATCTTAATTGATATATTACATTAATCTAAGCAGGGCGCGTTTTCCTCTTGATCCAACCCTGTATATGTGATATTTTCTTACTCTGATATTTGGAAAAGCCACTTTAATATATAATTTTTGTAGCTTTGGACTGTAACTATTAAATTCTCGGCATACAAAAGTTTTTTTTAATAAACCAGGAAAAGCAAATTTCCAATTAGAATGAAATTACAGATTTTGGAAGAGATCAGCAACCTTAATTTCACACAATATATTTGCTCAGTTTTATATTGAGCTGAAAAAGTACTATATTTCTCTTATGAAGAATTTTTTGGAATCTATAAATAAAATCAAAGAAAAAAATGCACAGTTTTAAATAAGATAAAAATCTGCAAGCTTTTGAAAACTGAAATTTTGTGGTGTTTTGAGCAATACCATTGGAAACGAGTCACTGAATCACTGAAATGTTTTTCAAAACATGATAATAATTTTAATTAAATTGAGAACAATAAAAACAAAAAATTGTATTATTTTTGTAAAATAAAATTTACATCGATAAAAAATTTTATATCCATTTTAATTTGAAAATGCGAACAATTTGAAAACTTCAGCGTTCAGTTAACTCTTTATGAACCTTTTTAAACTAATTGAGATCTGATCTACTAACTTTGTGGCTTTTCGTGGTCAACATCATAATTTCTGTCTCGGCAAAGAAACATTGAAAAATACAGCATCATATATCTCTTCCAATTCTTTTAACACTCAGATTTTCCGTTAAAAATGCGTGATCACACGCTCGTGATGTCCGGCGGCGTTTCGGCAGCCAATTCTTTGTTCAAGCTCTCCACCCTCGCGGCCCCGCTGCGTTCGTCGAACGTCACCTGCTGCTGCTGTGGCGGCGCCGTGATCGTCGGCCGATTCCGTCGGCGTCTCAGGTTTGTGCCGACGAGGAGGGCGATTATCGCCGCGTAGAAAACCACGATCACCTGCAAAATCAGAAAGTCGTCAGAATTTTGCTCCCTACAATTTAATGTTATTTAATTCCATTATTTATTCATCATTTTAGTATTCCGACTTTCAAGTAAGTAAACATAAATTAATCGTTTTTAGTAATTAGCATGCATTAGACTAAAATAATTTTAAATTCATGAAAGCTGCAAAGTCCTCTAAAAATTTAATTCAAATAATATAATGGCACCAAATATTAACAAGAATTTCCATGTTAAATCAACGGAAATGAAAATAAAAACTTTTATCATTTTATCGGAGATTCTTAAGATATGGCCACAAATTAATTTTACTCACTTTTATCTAAATTGGAATAAGGGGCCGTATTCAAAAATTGCTGAATCAGCATTCTATAAAAGGATTGGAAAGTGATGTTTTGAATGAAAGAACGGTTGATAAAGCATTGAAAAGATTTCATAAGATCTTATACTGATTTTGCTTATTTAATTCAAAACTGGGAAATATGGCCATGTTAAAAAGAATTAGTGCAATATGCCTGGGAAAATATCTAAAATTAAAAAATAATAAACTAATTTCTGAATTTTTGTGATTGTGTAATTATAAACTTAATACAAAGTAAGAAGATATAAAGTACAATTGAAAAAAACTGCTGATTCATCAAAATTTTTCTAAATAAAATAAAAATTATTTACTATACTGATGGAAAATTGGGGAAACAATAAATGAACATGTACGTTATTTTAAGTAAAAAATTATAAAATTATTATTATTTTAAATGCACACATGATTTTATTTTCAACTCGATTAAGTACAACTTTTGACTTTGTTAAAAAAAAAATTTAAATCCAAAGAGTACAATAGATTTTAATTAACGTATTTTCATTTTATGCTCTTGCGTCGCAAGGCTTTAAAAAAATCTTCTAACAATTGGCTGATTTATGACAGGCGAGGCGTCAAAGAAAAACGCTTTTCTCATCGTGCCCACGCCCGCACACAATTCGCTCAAGGAATTCGTCAATAAAGGCCTATTGCTCACATACCGTCACGTAGAGGATGGCGTCGTGCGAGAAATCCACAGGCGGCCGGTGCGAGATGTTTCCCGAGTGGGTGAGCGCGGCGCGATACACGGCCGGAAGAAGGGTGCCGTGGCATGGCGAGCCGACGCTTCTGCAACAAGCAAAACAGACAAACCGGTCATTCACGAGAAAAAACCAACGTGCCATTTCCGTCTGGGAAAAATTTCGGTTAGGATTTTTTTATAACAAAACAAAAATTTATTTCCTTTCATTCCCATATAATATTTTTTCTTTTGGTATGGTTGACGAAATTTTCTTGGCTTACTGAGCAAGGGATCAGCAGAGCTTTTTACAGTTCGAGAATTTTAATGTGTTTTTGTACTTTTTGTTTTTGCCGAAATAATAATATGTGATTTCATTCATCTGAAAATTATTTCCATTAACTGTAAAAACAAATTAATCTCCTGGTGCACTGTTTGTGGAACAGAACTTGCTAAGTACCCACAGTTGTAAAACCGACAAGAGCACGAAGGAAAACAACATCGTCGCAGAAACTAGAAAGCAACATCTGCTTAATTTCTCGCCGTGCGAATCATTATATGCGGGTCATGAAACTCCACAGCCAGTCGGTTAATTAGCGTAAAAGCGGCGCACGCTTTTGAGCCCCAGATTTCTTCTAAAATAGGAGCAAAAAACAGGTCTGCACATTTTATACACACTTGAGTCGTCGCGGAAACGTGCACTAAAAGCTGATAATTTGCCGCTAATGTGCGCGCAGCAATTATTTCCAAGCGAAACAACGCGTGCAAAACAATTTCATGCCACTTGGGGCAAGACGAATAAAGAGCGCTGCGGAGAAAGCAGCTTTTGTTTGAGTTCTGCTGCGGCTTGGCATGGTTATGCAACCAGTTTCGCACGCGCGTTGGAATTGATGCCTACCCTGGCAACGCCAAGGCGCTAACAAAATTAATTAAAATTCTAATTCAATTAATTAGGTAGGGCTTAAGTTGTAAAGTCTGAAAAGTTTTTGGAAAAAACATACACTCATAAATCTTTGCGAAATAATCTGATCGTCTTTTTATTGATTTATTTTAGAAAATTGACTGGGCAAAAGTTTGTAGCTAGTATCGCCTGAAGTTTTGAAAATCGATGCCAAAAGATGGCTGCTGACCAGGAAACCTTGAAGCTGAAAAGTTTGTTGCATACTTATAAATGATTTGGAATTTTGCTTTTCCTCGGTGGATTCTGGAGCTATTTTTTTTTCTTTTTTTGTAGTAAAAAATATCCAAGCATTATTTGTATTTTTTCCATGCAAAAAATATAAAAGGCTAAGAAAAAGCCGAATTTTATTCAACCTTAACTCGAAAGGTTTTTTAATGTCCAGAAATAATTACTACAAATCTGCAAAACAATTGTACCATTTTAATTTTAATTAAAATCTTTATTTTACAACAATATGTAGAACAGGGATTTTAAATTATTACAGTCCATAAGGTTTTTTTAAATCATCAGTTTTTATGGTTTTTATCAATAAAAAACACGCTATCTTGGATTTTTTTCTTTCACCCTTTTGATATTGTCTTGGATTCTTCTGTGTGCATTTTGAAACAACCACATATAGAAGGAGACTTTTGAAGAAACAAGCTCTAGCTCATGTCAAGATGCGATTACCCCAATTTCCACGGAAGAAAACATCACTTTTTCTTTTTCCTCGTGCCGTTTTTGCATGTCTTGCTAGCGCCGACAAACACGCTGTCTGCCTGCTGTGAGAAGAAAGATAGAGCTCTCGGATTTCTTTCTTTCTACCTAAGGGAAATTTTTCTCCTTTGAAGCGACGCGCATTCTTGCCTTTGTTTCCGTCCTTTGTGTCATCACGGCCGGCGCGCAATTCGCATAAATATACAACCTCCCATGACTATAAGAAGCTGCTTGTGTAAACAAAACTGATTTATTTTCTGGGGTTTCAATGTGAATTCCAACTGCTGAAATTTATTCTGTCAACGAATCGGGGAAATAAGTTTGGACTTTGTCTCTGGTTCCTTATTAGCCGTATTCGAAAGTTTGAGCAGGAAGTTTCAAATAGATTTTCCCCTTTGTAAAGAACCGTTATTATTCTTGTTGTTTATTTCTCCAATTCGTAAATCACATTCCAGCAAATTCAAAGAACCTCTTTAAATTCAATGTTGAATTTGTATTATAAATTGCTCAGATGATATAAACGCTTTTGATTGCCTTTTTTTAATCAAAATGATTTATTTTAAATGCTACTTTATTAAAGTTCCCTAGTTTATATTTACTTTCAACTGCTATTTTGTGCAACTTTTGAAAGCTTTCACAATAAAATGCAGTATAAATAACGACGAGATCCTTGAGTGGGTAAAATTTGTAATGGATAACGCACGGAACAAGATTTTGGAGAATTCCATATATAGATAAATTTTTAAGTGCTTTAAAATCTATAATTGCACCAACACAATAAGTAAGTGAGGTTTACAAGGAATTGATTTTTGGTAGTAAAGACAACTAAATAAGCTTTAAAATTAAAAAGATATACGACTGACCTGAAAATTTACGCTTCACACTTAATTCCATTGCCTCTATCTGATCATACTTTTATCAACTTTAAAAAGTTTAAAATTTTCAAAACAGGGACGTTTGATATTTTCAACTGGGATGGAAAATAGAAATTAAAACAAAAAAGTAAAGCGTGTTTCACAGTTTGTTTTAATGGACGCGTGGGAGGGCCGGGTTTTCCAAATTACAGATGGTTGGTCGCATGGGAGCTTTTAAAGCACTTTCCTCTGCGTCAAACGAAAGCATTTTTGAGAGCACAGATCTCAGAAAAGAATCCTTTCAGCGGAAATCTTTGTTTCTGCGCCTCAATTTCCCTCTTCAGGGAAAAGCGCCGCACTCAAGAAGCCGCCGCCCCGAGCTATGCATTTGTACATAAATTAGCGCGCCGCCCATTATATGCGTTGGTTGTTTGCGTGTTATAAGGTTTGCCGGCTGAAAGCAGCACTTCTTTCCGTCTTATCTCGCCGCTTTCATCTTTTCCGCAAATTACGCACGCACTTGAGATTTCCGCAGAGAAATATATTTTACACTGAAATGCTCTCGCGGGGTATCGGAAAAAAAGTAAGTTTTTCCTCCGATATGCGGTTTCATGCAAACATCGAAACGCTTTTTGTTTCGTGAGATTTGCAAATCTAGCGTGTAATGAATTCGCGTAACGACCGGGTGAGTGGTGTGCGAGGACACTGCTCAAATCTTGCTGCGAAAGCGGAATCTCCTTAGCAAACTTGGTACCGCTCACGCGAGGCCTCTTGAATATTCATAAGAGAATTTAAATCCCTCCTTGACATTGCTCGAGCAAGACGTTCCCAAGCAGATTTGACCATCAATGTTTCATGAAATAATTTCACCGCGCTGGCTAAAATGTTGAGCAAACAAGAATTCCTAATCCTATATGTATTCATTTCACCAAAAACACAGAAGTATTTTCAATCTAAAATAAATGATTGCTTGTCTTTGAGACGCAAATATTTCACCATAATCTATAATTTAAAATTGGTTGATACAATTAAACTTGAGAGAGAATTTTCCAGGCTACTTTTAGTCTTCAATATGAATAAAAAAATTGACAATGATTGGCATATAAAAAATGTAACCCTGTCTAGTGAATAAAAGCAAATTCAAAATTAAATAAGCTTGTGAGCAAAGTCACTTTTTAATAATCATACGAAAATAATAAAATAAAAAGAATTTAAATAAATAAGAAAACCATATAACATATAGAAATAATAATAAATAAATGAAAAAATACTGGTTATTTTAATTTAATTATTGTTCTACATTGTATCATGGCCCTGATTAATTTTTACAATGCATAACACTCTTGAATCAAAAGTTCATTTTAATTACAAAAAAAACCATTTTGCTTAAAATTTTTACAAAAACAAACTCATTTTCAATTATAATCAATAGGAAAAATTGAAATTCTTCTACAACAATTTAATCGAAAAGTTCAAAAAGTCTTCAGTAATCTCACAAAAGACGAGTATAGTCTCGAATTTCCGAATCACAATCATTGTAAAATTAAATTTAAAGTTAAAACTAAGGAATTTGAAATGACTTTTCACTATATTAATTAAGAATTATATATTGAAAAGCATCCAATAAATTATTAACATAGATAGAATCACTTTCTACGCCTTCCTTGTATCTTTATAATTTCAAAATTTGATTAATAATGGTAAATTTTTAATATAATTTAATATGTCTGAAAATACAACATGAATCGCGGCACTCGTTAATAAAGGAAATTGCGACGTTTCAAATAGAGGAAATTGAGTTTGTTTTAATAATTTTCGTCTTTCCTCCTCACGTCCGTTTTTTAGCACAGTGTGTGGCAGTCCAATATATTCGTCGTGTCCACTTTTGAAAACGTGTCAGCTGCAACAGCCCTTTGCGCCGGCACATTTGCAAAAGGCCAATTTCCTGCTTAACGCCCGTGGGGGGAAAACGTTTGGACAGAGAGTCACACGCCCGACACATTCGCGAAATCTGTCGATGTTCTGCGCAGATTGCAACTCGACTTGACGGCTGTCTGCGGAACGTCTCTTTTATTTGCATCCGACGGACAGACGGACGGCTCGTTGGGGCGTGTGAATCAATTTTTCATTATTCTCTCGCATCGCCTCCCTCCATCTCGGGCCGAATATCAAGATTCAAATTATTTGTTTTGGACGACAAGAGAAGGACGTGCGTGTTTGCGCGAATGGAGATCGAAACGGACAGAAATAAAATGTCTCAACTGTAACCTTTAGAGAAAGACTTGGTAGAGCTTTTTGTGAAATTATTGTTCCTTTTCATGCGTTTTCCCTTTTTTTAACCACAAGAGAACATTTCAAGGATATTATTAATTATTATTTAAACTTGCACGCATTAAAATAAATTTTTTCTTTATTAAATACCATTTTTTTTTCAAGATAATTTATTTTACATGTGGTCTCAAGTAAAAAATATTTTGAAAATTTGTATCTTAATTGAAGTAGTAAAAATAGAATAGGTTAGAGTGAAAAATAAGTTTTTATTTGAGTAAAATTTATTGTGTTGAAATTTGTTGTGTTTGTTGTAAAAAAGAAATTAAATCTAAAACTACATATAAATCAACCAAAAGGCTCGCTTTGATCTTGGAAACAATTGACCAACAATTAAATTTTGCTTCCATCCCAACAATTAATTATTTTTAAATGTGTTACTCGTGGATAAATGTACTAAAATTGACAATTATAAAGAAAATATGGAGTTTTTTAATAACGAAACATTTTTTTTTTGCCCAAAGGAGTTAGAGATAAGTGAGATAACAATGGGCTAAATAAATTATTGTAATTTTAAATGAAAAATCACGCAACTGTAAAAAAAGGATTTTGTAATTTTCAAACGCAGTAACTTATTTTTACTTTGCGGGGCTAATATTTTCCATTTGAATAGAGATTTAAAAAATGTTGTATCCAAATTAGGTTTGATTCGCTTTTCAATGAAAAGTTTTTTAATATTTTTGCTTTCATTGATATCAACACTTTTCAAGTGAAACTTTATTTCAAATGAGCAAAGGATAAAAAATGTAATTAACATTTTCTGCAGTGTCCTCGATCAGTATGCAATAATTTTACGCGCATTAATGACGTGCACTTCCCCGTGTGGCAATAAACATGTAAATTTGTGTTCCGGAAAAAAAATGCTGCACTCGTCGCCCCGCAACGCGCTCTTGGTTCGATATAGGGGGGCATTCGGCGCAGCTGGAAAACAACGTCGGTCTAATTAAAACTCGATTCGCCTGCTCGTCCTCGGCGAACGTGGAACTTCATTAGGCGGTTCTTGTTATACGGCCGTTGCCGATAAAAAACAACAAAAACAAAAAGTAGCATACGGAGGAAAAAAGCCGTCCCGAGAAACAAATTTAATAATGAACTTGCGCGGTATGAAAAGACGAGAGACGCGCCGCTTATTACATTTGCCTCTCGCCGGGAGTGAAATTTTCCAGCCGTCTTTCCAGCCCAGGGAGGGACCAATGGGGTCGGCCCCAAGTATTCGAGTTATGAGCGCTGCAGATTCCGAGCGAGTAATTCCGCGGATGTGAAACAGAGGAAGGAATTCCGACCGAGCCGAAAAAGCCTTTTGCACCGCAGCAATCGAGAGCAGCATCGACTTGGAGGGTGTTTGATCGCCGCCGACCGGCTTCATCAGCATGCAAACGACTGTATGCCGGCGTCGAAGAGAGCTTTTCAATGGATTTTATGAGTTCGCGTTGCGGCCTTTGCAAGAGCGCAAGTGAGAAACGCGATACACAACAGCAGCGGCTGAATAATTTGTAAATATATTCTTCGCCTGTGTGAGAGAAAAAGGCTTTCAAAATATTTTAATATTATAGCGGCGGTGCATTTTTGTATGTTTTTGAATTTTTCCCCATCTAACAAGATGCAACAAAATTATAATAATACAAAAAATAGAAAATGAATACTATGTTATGTATTTTCAGCATTTTCAAATTTCAGCTAATTACTATAATAATTGTGTATAAATTTTATTGTTCCCAAATTTTATGGACTGCGATAATCTTTTTTTGATATAATTTTTAATTAATTTTCAAACCTTATTTACAAAATAAGTTGATGATGATGATTAATAATTTAGTTGGTGCAGTACAAATATTTCAAGTATAAAATTTATCATTTCTGGTGACTGCGGAGAACTACTGTGATATAAGGAAATCAATTTGTTTTGCTATTTTAGAATTTGGAAATACAAATTTAAAATTTTACTCATTCAACAGTTATTAATCAATTATTCCTGTGGCAATGTAATCATGCAATTTAAATACAAAAAAGCTTATTTTATAATTCATTTTCAATAGAAGAACAATGTTCCCTTATTTAAAAATATTTTCAATGAAATTTGAATGCTGAAAAATTTTCAACAATAATTGATACTTTGACGGCAAGTAAATATTTTTACTTTATAATAAGTTTTATCACGCGAATTAATAACAACAACAACAAAATGAAACATTTAATTTAAATAATCAATAATATATAATTAAGTTTTTTTAATATTTACATAATAATAAGTATTATGCATGACGTATACAAATGTTTTTTATTATTACAAAAAAAAAAAAACATTATGTATGTACTCAAAAAGGTTTGTACGGATAGTCATACATTTTTTGCGATTAAGGGTTGATGGACCTTTCCAGTCCTATCCACTCTCACAATACACTTTATTATGCTTATATTCTATAATTAAATTATCCATGATGACTGTTATTATTATGTTGTCACCGTGCTGAGTATTACACTGTTTGTCATTCCGCTCTCCCTCCTCCCTCCCCTCTCTCCCTCTCATTCCAAATTGTATGCTTTCTGAACGCTTCGATCTCCCCAGTTTTATACCTTATTCCCCTTAGATCTTCGTTTTTTCGCTCAGTTGCCTTTGCCTGTTGCCTCAGCAGGCTCAGGACTCGGCAGCCTCGCCTCAAATTTGGAGGTTCTGTATTTCTGTAAGTTGTTATTTGTTGTTTGTTGTCAAGAAAAGTGACACCATGAATCGTAGCTCTCATCACGCCCATTTTTTACGCTGGGCTAAACCGCTACGTGATTCAACACGTAGATTAAAAGTTTTGGATAGAGTGTGTTATTCTATATTTGTATTTTATTTCAGTCGGATGTCACACACACACACGAAAGTATTGGAGTATTTCATTCCCTTTGTTCTGACCTTTGCTTGACACGAGACCACGCCAGACGTTAGGACTTGATTCCTGCTTGATTTCAGCTGATTTTCAAGGTTTTTAATGACGAAGAGATAATGGGTCCTATGCATGAGAAGATTTGAAATGCAAATCTGTTGATCGCATTATTCATTTGTTAATTGTTTTATTCCTGTGCCTTTAATTGTGTTTAATTATGTAATGTATAATTTTTAGTGAGACCACAGCTTAGAAGGAGCTTGAGTAAACAATGGCTTCCCCATTGTCGCAAATTATTGATATTTATGATTACAGTAAGCAAAATTATATCTGATTGCCTTATTTTTGGCAACTGATCATATTTTATAATAACATTAATAACTAAAAGGTTTGGCGGTGAAGCAATGCAGCAAGGAGGTGGTGAGAGCGGCGTACAACCTGGAGACCCGTAGACATAACCTGGTGCCCTTGCGTGAGTTGGCCATGCGCACCGTAGTCACCTTCATGCTGGAGAGGTTCAAACCAGCTCCTACTCTGATTGATAGACTGCGTAAGGATTCATTTCTTGCAATTTTATATCTGTGTTGTTAAATTAATATTTATTTGTATGCAGCAAAACGCCTGAAGTCTGAGGTCCTCGAGGAAGTTACAAATGTGGTTTCTGATTCTCACAGGGAAGACTTGCTGCTGGACTTGAGCACCGTCAAGCAACTCATCACTTCCGACCTGCAGAAATTCAACTTCATTACGGTCTTCAAAAAAGACTGGGACGAAATTTGGAAACACTTGACCTCATCTGCTCCCAACCTCAAAAGCATTTCTGACTCTCATCAGAAAAGGTGGCATTTTGGGAGGGATCATCATGAGCCAAAACCTGCAGAGCCCATTCTCCAGTACTTGATCAAGTTCGTCAAGCTAATTGAACTCAAACTGACCACATTCCAGTTTTCAGATGGTGAATTTTCTCGCAGCATCAAAGAATTATTTTGGAACTAATGAAAGCAAATTAAAACTACTTTCAGAGGACATTCGTAAGCTGAGCAAAAGTTGCACTAATCTGAAAAGCATCAATTTGAATATGAGCAGCGAGCTAACCTCCGAAGGACTGTACTACCTCTCCAGCCTGCCTCTTCTGGAAAAGGTCGAATTTGGGCCACATTATTCTTTTGAGTTATTCCCAGAGCGCTCAGCCAATCCTCAAAAAGCCTTTGAGATGCTTCCAAACCTCAAGATAATCACTGACTTGAGCATGAAAGGTATAAAAATATCAAAATTATATAATCCTGAAAGCTTCCACTATTAGAAATATCCTCTCCGCAATAAAATATAAATAATATTTAAATGTGTATTTTGGCAGGTGAATATACGAGGCTATACATTCCAAGAAACCCTCAGCGCCCTTTCAATTTGCAAAAGCTTGGCTATGTTGACGGATATCTTGAGAAGTAAATCAGTACAATTTTAATCTAGTCATAATTAACTTGTGTTAAAATCTAAGGATTCCGAGCCACCTGCGTGAATTGAAAGAGATGCGCTGCAGCAATGACTTGGCTCTAGAGGTTTATGACCAATTACCGCTCCTGCAAGCTCTGGACTCACCCACGTTTCCTAAAGATTTTGCCACCCTGCAACTGATCGGCTCCAGACTAGTCGAGATCACGTCACACGATTCGTTCCAGGGCACCATTGATGTGCGTCAAGTATTGCGCTTGTGCCCTAACCTGGAGAAGCTGCACCTGTACGCATCGTTTATCATGGACGACCAGAAATACTGTTTTGACCCTGTCCATCTGAAGTTGAAGGACCTGAAAATGACTCAATCCTTTGATGTTAACATAGACATCCCATTTTTCTGGGACCTGCTGCTGGCGCCCAACCTGCACTCCGTCTGTCTCAAAAGGTTCATCTTCACGGAGCCTCGAGCCCTCCTTGACTCGGCTGATCCCTTCCTGCTAAAATTGGCCAACCTTGATATCCTATTTGGTTTTGAGTGGCCCGTTGATGAGATCAAGAACAAAATGTTGGACTTGCACAATGAGTGGGTCTTGGGTCTGATCAAGAACTGCCCCAAACTTCAAACTCTCTATTGCTCAATTGCTGCTTTTGGCTCGATGGGATTTAATGGTATTATCATTTTAAGTGTGGCAAATGTGTCTAAATTTTCACCCATGTCACCAACATGGAAAGTAGCCCGAAGATGTGAGCTAGATGAAGATTCTGAATAAGAGTGTTATCTGATGCAAGAAATAATTAAGCCATGGGGAAAAGTTGAGAACCTTTCGTGGATTATTGTTTATTTAGAGCTATGGCGTTTTTTAAAACAAAATTACAAAAGAAAATTAAATTAATTACCAAAATTAACGCACAACATTTTTACCAACAGAAAATCAATAACGCCTCAGTTTTTTATTTATCATTTTCAAGCTACTGAAAATAATTTTGCATGTAATTAATCTGCTTTATTATTGTTTTGGTGTTACATGGTGTACAAATATCTGTACCAAACGTTGATCAAAACGTTCCAATGCAATCCAGAAATCCAATTAAAAGTTTGCAAACAAAACATCCTCGCCTCGCACAGAATGTTCCCATCTCGTCGGAAAACTTTTAGGTTTGTTGAAATCAAAATAACTAATAATCTAATAAAGCTCCTCCTGCGACTGCTGCAGAGAAACAACTTGCTCTTGTTTGCATGCAAATTATATAGCAACTGAAAACTCTGCTTATATCAAAATAAATGAGGACCGCGCTTTTGAGTCAAACTCTGCGAAACAAATCAATAACAGATTAATCTGGTTCAAATTATAATCCAATGCAATCGTTAGGACAAAATTTATTTGTAATAAATTTAATTGACACGCGACACTACTCAAAGAGTAATGTCAACCTATCCCATTTCAAAAGCAGCAAGACTCGCAAGGGAAATCACGGCGGCAACATGATACTTTTTTGCGCATTTTATTCGGACGTGGCGCATTTTTCTAACAAGCGCTGTTGTTTGGGTCGGCGTTGCTGAAATCCGATTTGCCTTGTAGTGAGTAATGAGCTGTCTGTTGAATAAATTTTTATTTATTTACTGTCGACAAGAGGAAAATCAATGCCTGATGCAAATCACTGACGCAGAGAAAAAGATTTCTTTCAAAATGTAGTACACGCTCCTTGAAAAAGTGTTATAAAAAAAATTATAATCCAATTAAAAATAGTAGTCATAATTATTATTTAAGCAACTTCTGAGAAATTCGTTTAAAATGTTCACTTTTTCAATGAAAAAATAAAATACACTCTTGTGTTCTGAATTAAAAACATTTAATGCTTTTAATTTTATCCTTAGAAAATAAGAGCTCATTTAAAAGGCAAACCAATTGAAATTTATTATTCTTTTTTTATATTTAATAAAGATCTTTAAATCAAATACAACAGATCGTCGCCTTTACAGTTTGGCCTCCTTTCTCAGAAAAAGCCCGCATATTTTTTCCCTTTCCCCTCTTGTGCAACTCAAACAAAGAAAAGGTCCATGAGATCCATTTCGAGTCGGTCACCTGGGTATTTTGGCGAGCGCTCTAGATCTAAAAGGGCAGCGCATTGCGCACAAAAAGGCCAAGTTTGGCCCCCAAACGACGGAGCCCATGAATAATTAGCGCGAATCTTTGTTTGCCTCGCCCGCGGTGCAGTACTGACATGCAAACGTGCCGGCGCCGTGTCGTTGACAATAATTATTCCTGCCCGAGGCACCAGCCAGATAATTGAAACCGCCTCTCCCCTGGCGACACATACCTGATTAAATAACGCCGGGGAACGCTCTCATTGTGCCACTCTCTCGTTAGGGCGCCAAATGAGCCGCTTGATGTGCATATTATGCAACCCATAAGGAGCAGCGAGGGCCTCTTGAACTTTCTGGAGATTGGCCCGGGACCAGAGAGGGTGTAGGAAAATTAGGAAACCAGTTTTCTCTTTTCCCTTCAATTCTTGTAATTTTTAATTTTGCACGTAAATTTTCATAAAATTTAAAACAAATAAAATAAAATAATGAACATTTAAATGAATTCGAGACTTTTTATTGATTTTCCATATTATAAAATTTAAAAATATCCTTTTTAAACTTTCTGGTTCAAACGTCAATTATTAATCCAACAAATCTTTTAAAAGACAACTGAAGACAACCGAGGAAATAACAATATTTTCTAAATCTTTAAACTACAGTAATTGGCAATTTTAATTTTAATACTTTTTTTTGCACAAATTAAAACTGGAAAATGTGGCACATTTTGTTTCCCCGAATTTACCAGAGTTTGTTATTTATTGTTATTCCTTTTTTTGCTATAAATTTTAATTGCCCATTGGTACTCTTTGATAAGAAATGACTGGATATTTTTATTATTTTTACTTAAATGCATTTCACAGATCTATTTTTAGTAAATATTTACATTTAACTTATTTCAAACCATGCAACTTTGCAGTTAAAATATTATGATTATTTGTAAGAATTTAATCATTCCGAATTTTTTAGACATTTATTATTATACATGAGAAAATTAGATTTTTGGACCTCCAAGCAATTGTTTTTGGAAGGCATTTTTTAATAAATAAAATTTAATTTAATTGACCATATTTCTTATTGCCGGAAAACAAAAAACTTTTACATCAAAATATCATAAACTTGCTTCTATATTTCAACAAATTTATTGTTCTCATTGTCAGTGCCTTGCAACAGTTACAGAATAGTGCAGAACCTCTGCTCGCTACTTGCTAGCAAACATGGTATGAATAATTAAAACGCGCACCCTGCGCCGACAATGAGTGACATATATACATACATAAATAATCCGCTAGCAGAGCGAAAACGATTCCGAGACGACTTGTGGTACGAGACCTGCAACGCTTGTTTGCATTTTCCTCCTTTTGAGCTAAGTTGAAGTGAACTGCACGTGGGTGTGTGTGCAACTGAGAGTGTACAGATCTCCTGCACGGTTGCATAAATAGGCCGCCACAAACAATATGCTCTGCTGCCATTCACCCTGTGTTGTTATTAATTTTTCCTAAGAGGATTTTCCGCCTGCGTCGGAAGCAAAATTGCAATATTGCCGTGCGGAATTTTTTGTTGCGTCCTTTTAAGTAAAGGATCGTTAGTTTTGTCATGTACAAGAACCTACTTTTTATGATCAAAGAGTAACATAATTGGGTCTGCTTTTAGCAGATTCATTTTTCTTTGCCTTTACAAATAAACAAGCTTTATCAAGAAATTAAAAGAAAACTAGCTTTCTCCCGTTTCATTCTAGGCAAATTGTTGATTTAACTCTGCTTAAGCGTAAATGAGCCAGGTTTAATTTAATTTTTGACTTTTTATAACCGTGTTATCAAGTATAATAAGAATGTAAGTTAACTTAGCGGACTTAGCCATCAGCTGTCGGATTTAATTTCTTCAATAATATAGACACATGTAGGCTGAAAGTACATACATCGTTGCTATATTACAGCATTTTTAATTGTATGAACCTATAAAGAGTTGTAAAAAGTCAATAAAAAAGCACAAATTTAAAACACAAAAACAAACATGAATATAATAATAAAATAAATAATAAAAATATCAATAATATAGTAAACCTGATATAACTGGAATTAATAATAACATTTATTTAAAATATATTATAAAAATTTTCCAAAAAAATTTAAAGATTTATATGCAAACAATAAACTAGTAAGCAAAAAAATTAATTAATTAACTCAATTAAAATAACAAAAGCTTTTTCAAACTTTTCTATGTTTTTCTTTCTTTTTTTTATATATTTATCATCCAATTAGCCAATTAATTTGGGGAACTTCGGACTCACTTTGCCACTTGAGAACAGATCCGACTTTCCACCCCGTTTTTGTGCGACGGCGAACAGCTTTCTTGAGAGTCGGTCTCGCCGGCGGAGGCAGTCAATTAGCACGGTAAACAGAAGCGCGCCGCGATCTTTCTGCCAAATATTTATCCAATTTCCCAACTGCCAGAGCCAATCGCTCTAAGTGGCTGCGGCTGTGCCGCCGAAATTTATCGAAGCTTGCATCACCAGCCAAGCCAGAGCCGTTACATTAGCATAAAGAGAGTCGGAAATGCGTTCAGACCGCTGAGGAGTCGAGAGAGTTGAGCTCGCAATTTAGCACTAGGGCGTGCGAATCGCACCCTCCCGTGGCTTCGCTCGCGCACCGACACACCTGCCTGTGATGCCTAGTGAGCTCAAGATCAAAGGCGAGCCCTTGCTTACAATTAGATACATAAACGTGGTGTTTGGCTAAGGTAAGGACGATGCTTCTGGAATTACGCATCAATAACAAAACCACTTCTCAGCAGCTCAGCACCTAAGGGTCGGACACTGGCTGGGAATTGCGTCTATGATGTAAAATTTAACGTTAATTTAAAAAAAGCAGGTTTTGTTCGTTTTGTAAAATTTAATTTTTAGAATGAAATTATTTGTTAGTTGATTCCTTGAGCATCAATAAAAACACGCGTATGATTGTATAGAAATTTAAAATTTACACAGTTTTTTACCGTCTAGTAAGAATATGATGACTAGAAATTCTAATCCTCAGTGTAGAAAAAAAAATTTGTTATTGAAAAATTCTTTGATGATGATTGTCTTCTTTCGTGATTCACTTTGGCATCAATAGGAAAGAATGAATACAGCAAAGAAATTGAAAATATTGCATCTTTCGCAGCAGTTTTAACGATTTTATTTTTTAAATTTTATAAAAATATAAATTTAGTTTGCGTTAAATTTTTTTTAGGCTCAACTTTTGTTGCCAGAAGTGCTGCCGTTTCTTCAATTTTTTTTCCACTCTTCATTGTGACTTGACTTGTGAAGAAAAAAAACAAAAATAATTATGAATTGAATTTTAAACAACAACAAAATATTATGATTTTGTTTTCTGAAAATCTACAAGTTTAAATTTCCAAGACAACTCTTACTTCAGCACCTATATATGTGTTTAAAAATGAATAATTTTGTCTTTATCCTGACAAAAGAAAACCCAAATTAAAAGTAAATTTCTTATATTGGATTCCTTTTTTTCTGCGTCTCGAATAACTTTGGTATCATATAAAAGGAATTTATTTGTTACAAAAATATTGCAGAACAATAAGGACTCGTCTGGGCTCGTCCGTAATTGAGGAATATTGCGGAATCCCACTCATCCGCCCTTTCTTTCCTTCTGTCTCTCTCTCAACCAGAAGACAACCGTCATTTTTTCCCTCTTATTTTATCTCCCGGAACAGTCCTCGCAGAGAGCAGCTTGCGAATTTTCGTTCCGCATCTGTGTCGCATTTGCGGATTAAAGCGTTCCCTATCACTTTGGCGTAATGAAGTGGTGCTGACTAAGCGCCGGCGACGTAATTACGTCAAACAATAATGGTCCCGACATGTGCCACTAATGGATAAACTTTTCGGACACAAACTGCTCGGGGGAAAAATATCAAGTGTGCCCAGCTGCAAATCATCCGCGCGCAAATTTTCCGCTTAATTACCTGCTGACGGATGATTCGTCTCCACAAAGCTCAGCCGATCATCCTGCATGGTTCATTGAACCAGAAGCAATTCGACGCCATTCCTCCATCAAAAGAATTGTTTACCCTTCTCAGGGAGTCTCGCTCTCAAAATGGAAAAGATCAAAACTTAAATTGCGAAATTTGTTTAATTGTAAGCTAATGACATTATATAATATTGCACACTTTAAATTACTTTAATCTTAGAAAATTCAATAATTTAATTAGAATTGTATTTAGTGCTAATTTTTAAATTTTCATTTAAATTTAACTTATTTTGTTAAAATATTTATAAGAAACAAAATACAAAGTTAAGAGTTTTGGGAAACACTTATTTATTTTATGAAACTAATATGCCTCTGAACTTATTTAGTTTCAGAACAATATGTGAAATTATATTTAATTTTGTATTTATATTATTGCAAAAATTTTAAAAATAACTTTTTTTGAAAACCTTTGATCTAAAACCAACCAATTACAGATTTTTTTTATCCATTTTTTTGATAAATTTATGAGAGAACAAAATTTTAAACGCTACAGAAAGTTCTGAATTAATTCAAATTTTATGCATTGCCAAAAGTTTTATTAACCCTGTAATGACTAGCCACACCAAAGTTGATCAACACGCAACACTGCACGTTCATCAGTGGATTTGCAGTGTGGTCATTTGGTCTGATGCGGCAGCTTCAATTTTTGGGACAATTACGCGCGCACTGCCTCTGGTCATTAGCGAGTGCGCGAGAATTAATGAGGGACGCGGTGGCGTTTGCTGATATGCACGAGAGC